CGGGGGGGGGGGGGGGGGGGGATCCGGCGAAGAAGCAAGCACGTGGGGGGCGGGGGGTACGCCAATAGTACCAAGAGGGTGGCCCAATACGGACCGGTACACAATGGATCGCGCACAGGCCAGCACGGGGTGAACGCCCATGCGATGACACAGACAATGAAGAAGGCGGCATGCAGAAACCATCTAGCCTCTCACTTTCCAACGAGAGGAATCTTGCGGAGAATCGCCATGCTTGTCGGAAGCCGGAAGGCGGTGGAGAGGTGGCTCCACTGGTCCATCTCGAGCTCGTCGTGGTCAAGCTGAGAGTCCATGTTTTCCTGGGAGACGCGCCGGTTTCGTTTCATATCAACACCGAAAAACACCATGAACAAAAAAAAAAGAGAGCGCGGAGGAAACAAAAACAAGCGAGCATCATCGTGAAACCGGGTACATGCCATGCCGATCAGGTTTTTCTTGAATTGCCCTCTCTTTCGGCAAGACGAGACAAAAAAAATCACACACACCAAAACAGCGTAACGAGCCAGACGGACAGACAGACTCGCGTTAATTTCTTTTCCGGCACAAAACAAACGGCTGTCACGAATCACTCCACGCCACACACGCTGCCAAAAACAAGAAAAACGTACATACCGTGGGTCAAACATAACACATATCATCAATAAAAAAACATGTCGTACGCATAAATTAGGTCAAACATTATATCATAAAACCATATCCTATTATAGGTCAACTCCCCGGGGCACCTAAAGGAAATCATCACACCCCTGGGCTACACCCACGGGTTGGGCTGCTATGGTATTTTGCCCTCCGTCAGTTTTCGCGCAGCACCGACCGTGAAGACGAAAAAAGCGCACTCTGGCACATCGCAGGTACGCAAACGTAAACAAGTCCTCGTCGCCCCGCCCCGTCCCGCCCCACCGACATTATCGGGGCAGCCTGATATTGGTACCGTTTGTTGTTCCGCTTAAAGGCCAACGTGCCAGCTAAAGAAACACACACACAGACAGACACATTCTTGTGGCCTTTAGAAGCATTTTTTGTGTTTTTTCAACCGCACTGATGACTGACGTCTTTTCATCGGTCAGCCGGTAAGCGCGGTCGATGCTAACAAGAAAGACACACACATACACATACACACACGGGGGCGCGCGCGTTCGTTCATGAAATTAAAACGTCAAAACGACTGCAGTCTCTCTTCGTTCGTCACCCGGTAAGGGTAAGAGGGTCAACCCAAAACTAATTTAGCTAAATAAATGAATAACCCAATAACCCACCTTCAAGACGCGGAGCCCCATTGACGACAGCCAGCCCTGGTGGTATCTCGCCGTGAAGTGCGCCTTGACTGCCGTCAGGAATCGCACCCTCGCCTCCGACATGGATCCCATCGTCAAGGCTCCGGAAGTGATCGCCGAGCCGCCTGTTCGCCCCCCTCCCCCTTCCCCTTCGTCTGTCGTAGATCACATAGTAGGCAGCGCAGAACAGACGGTGGTGCGAGGGGATGGGCTTGAGTATCGTTCTTCACGACGTTCCTAAATAGCCTTGCCGGACACAGATGCAGGTCTAGATAGAGCCTTACCTGTCTACTTACCTCGCTGCTCCCACACTCGACAAAAAAAAAAAAAAAAAAAGAGGTGGAAGGAAGCTCGTGTGCATATTCGGTGTGTCTTGACCGAGACCGCGTGGGACTCAACAGATGGTGATGAGAACATAAGAGCGAAATACCCCCGCTGGTGAACGGTTATTCGCCACTTCAGGGACCCTTGCTCGGTAACAGAGAAATTCTGCCTGTTGCAGCTGCTGCTTCCAGGTGCTGTCCTCAGGGTCTTCGTCGAACGCCACTGAGAACACCCTTTCTTTTCTGTTGTTACGGAGCAGGGGTCCCCGAAGTGGTGAATAACCGTTCACCAGCGGAGGTTTTTAGCTCTCGTTTGTAATGTGGCGAGGGATTTGCCAAGCGTGGCCGACTTTGGTCGGCCGTGCTAGGTCGAAAGTGAGAGTGAGCCTCAGGGGGCACGCTTTCATCCCCCGGCTGGTCACAGCAGGCGGAGGATCTTTCATTTGTAAGCATGTTTTAAGACTCCGAGAGCATCGTTCGTAGGGTATCGGATCCTTACCGGTTGTACGCGCGTCACTACCACTATCATAGAAAGATACCTATATCCTGGTTTCCAGATTGACGTGTTTTTCCCACCTGTGCTGCCCCCTGATGGACCGCCCCGTGAACGCTTCCTTCGGTGTCCCATCGAGAGCCCCGGCTTGTTGGTACCTTTCCCGTTGACAGAAATAAAAAGCAAAACAAAAGCAAAGGAGGGAACGGAGAATGAAGGGCGGCGGTGTGGGAATGATCGTGGGTGGATGCCAGGAGCGTCCCATGTTGTTGGCTACGGGAATATGCTTGGAAACACGTTCTGATGTACGACTACGAGACTCCAGAAATGTCCCATGTCACATGATGCCACTCTTTAAAAGTGGTCCTAGAAAGCAGGAGGCCTCGCAAGGGCTTGGTGTGGGGACGAGTGATCCCGCCCGTCAACATAATGTTTTCTCCCTCGTAGCATATTCCGGTACTACTGCTACTGGTGTTGTCTTGCGACTGCTGCTGTACGATCCACTTCCACCCACCCGCTACTTGTACACAACGACCAAAAGACTGCGGTCGCACCAGCTTGAAAAAAAAAAAAAAGATAGCATCGCACCAGCGCAACCTGCACCAACAGCACTGTCGCTTCGGGTGCACCTAAACAGCCCTGAAAAAAAAAACACACACACAATGACACCGACACCGACACGACCACAAAGAGCAGCCTAGCCCTAAAAACGAGACAAGAAAAAACACCACAACCATCACACAACCAACAGCAGCAGCAATGGTGTCGCTTTCGCTCACCCTCCTCGTCGTCCGAGTCCTCGTACGGATTCCACTCCGGCGCGACCTCCGTCTTCGCCTTAACCTCGTGCCCGTCCCCATCCCCCCCCTCCTCCTCCTCCACCACCACCTCCTCCTTGCCCTGCTGCTCCTTCCCCCCTCTCCCATCATCTCCACCGCCGCCCACGTCCCAGCTACCGCCGCTGCTCTTGAAACGGCCGCTGCCACCGCGAAAGGAACTGTTGCCGCCGCCGCCGCCGCCGCCGCCGCCGCCGCCTTTGCTGCTGCCGCGCGTTGAGCCGTCCATGGGCATTCCCACATCGTCGTCGTCGTCGTCGTCGTCATCGTCTGATTCCGGCTGCTTCTCGTCGTCGAGATCCCCCCCGCGGTAAGGCCGGCTACTGGCACCGCCGCTGCGCGCGCGCACACAGCAGTCACGGCGAAAGAGCGAACGCAAGAAAAAAGCAGCGGGCAAAGACAAATGGAGAAAACAAACGAATTTGAGGTTGACCCCTTGCGACCGGATCGAGCCGATGTAGAGAGGCTCGAGAAGAGACTTTGTGAATTACTTGTGGTGTGGTGGTTGACGCAATAAGACAAACTGAGCTTTCGGCGTGCAAGGTTCAATCGAACACACGTGGGGTGGGGAGCCACGGTTGCCGCATGCACGCAGTCAGTCCGGCGGGGTTAGCGCGCTCGACAATCTCCAGCTGTCGGCAACGGGGAACCGCAACATCGACACACGGGCGACAACAAAACAAAAAGAGGGGTCGGTGAGAGTATGACGGTCTGTCTCTCGAGATCGAGATCGAGATCGAGACCCTCTTGCCGCAGATGCACGCTTATCGTTCGTCCGTTGCGCCGACAATTCCGTTGTGGATTTTTGTCGGCATGTGAACAAAAAAAACACACGTTTTTGGGAGCTTTTGCCGGTGGCCCCCGGATTTCGTCTCGGTTTCGCCTCAAGGACCCCACCCGACAAGTGCACGCAAGAGGAGGTGACGAAAGGCGAAGCACCTTGTTGTAAATTAAACGTGCAGACACCACCTAAAAAAAAATCACAAAAAAATCACAACAAAAACACAAACAAAAACGAAAAAAAAAAAAATGTATAACCAACAACATCGACAACAACAACAACAACAACAACAACAACAGCGACGATGGCCAACAACGACGACGATGACGACAAACAGAAAACACCTCCCGCCCCCCGTGCCTCATTTCGATTCTTCCCTCCCTGTGATCCTAACCCTTCTCCAAACACACACCACTTTCCCCCCACCTGGGCGTCCCCTTCCTGTTGGTGAAGCAAGCCCCTCCGTGGATGGAGGCGTGCCCCAGCATGCCCCCGTCTCTCGCTTGCTTCATGTATTCCTTCATGTCTTCCTCCAACCCCTTGTGCCTGGATATGGTCATGTCTTTGTTGAGCCGGGATAGCCGAGCCTCCGCCTGAGGCAAGAGTTTTTCGCCGGCGCTTCGGTAAGCTTGGGTTTGCGGGAAAGCTCGTTTTTGCTATGGGGTTGGGTACTTGTCAGCAACACGGCGTGATGCCCGCTGTTTAACTCGTCTGAAACTGACCATTCCATGCGACTTTACTTTATTGTACGTTTTACACTGTGGGTATTTCTCAGCAACATGTCGTTCTTTCCCGTATTTCTTCTCCCTACGTTTGGTGTATCGTTACCTTTGGAGTCAATTTTTTTGCAACTTATCCCATACGACCGCTACGCTCTACATGTACAAATATTATACTTGTGGTTTGGCAGCCAATTGGCAGAGACTCTGATCAATACATGCCGTAAACATACATTATTGGCTAGGTCTTCAATGGGAGGGGGGGACAGACGCTAACGAACCTTGGCGACCGCCTGCCGAGCTCGGCGTCTCTCGTCCTTCAGCTTGTTGACTCCCTCCACCATGCGGAGCGCCTCTGCCCCGCCCCTGCCGGTCCCGAAAAGAGTCCTTCGCGCAAGACACGTGCGCCGGGCATGATAACCACGAAAACGAAAAAATCGCAATTGAGAGAACGAATTGCGGATTGCCGGACATTTTACGCAGGAGACAACGAAAAAAATAAGAGTCAGGACAAACAATACAACCAACAGAGGCATGCGCATGTGTGCTTAAATGGAATGCTAGTTTTTCTCTTCAGCACACGCACATGTCATATAACGACGGGAAAAGGCAAGAGAGCATATGTACCAGCTACATCAACCATAGGCCAACAAGTGAACAACGACTGCAGTGCACGGCTGCTGCTGCTGTTGCATGGCGCCGTACCCAGACTTCCCTCCCGCTGCTTGCTTGACTATCTCCCTCTGCCCGAAGTCGGACATCATCCCCGATTCGTCCTGAAACCCTAGCATTCCCACGTTGTCCAGGTGCTTCCGGAGGGTGTGCGACACTGGCGTCTGAAACAACGATACGATGACAAAAAAAAAAAAAAAGAGAGGTCAGAAAAACAGACGGGAATGACTTCAACCAAACAGCCGGAGAGATTGGATGAGAAGAGGGCCTCAACATATATTCATCCAGATGCACAACGGGTGTAGCAAGACCGTGATTTTTGTGATTCCCTGACCCCTCAAGCGCATCACGAGGCGACGTTCTCGAGCACTGTACTGTACTGTATCGTGACGAACGTCGACGAAGCCACAGGAGTAACGAGGAGTGACAGCGGAGACGTTGCCTCGTACACACCTAGGCTTGGCTAGGGGGCGTCGTGGTGTGTCCACGCTGTCCCAGGCGTGCCACAAAAAAACAAACCATTGACACAACACCACCAGTGACGACGACCACGACCAAAACGACGACAACAACAACAACAACAACAACAACAACAACAACAAGCGATAGGGTCGTGAAAAAAGCGTAGTGCCTGCCTCCACGCTGTCCCAGGCGTGGCCAAAAAAAACCAACGACAACCTGAGTGACGACAGTAGCAGCAGCAGCAGCAGCAGCAGCAACAACAACAAGAGATGAGATCGCGAAGAAAAGAACGCACGGCGTGCGCACCTGATTCGGGTGGAGCAACGTGTCTGGATCGTCTCCCGCGTTGAGGTTGCTCCAGGCCTCGGCCTCTAGCATCATGCGCGGTTCCGCGTTCAGGCGTTGAAGCTCCATGTCTTTGCGGTGCTGGTTGTCGTCTCCCGTTGCCGATGAATGGTGAAATTTCTGGGGAAACAAGCACACGTCGACTTTGGTGGAACATGCATCTGCAGGAAACTAACTCCCGAGTGCTTCGTACAACAGAGTGGGAGGGGGCCGTCCTCATGTTCTGAAAATTTCTGGGCAAAAAGCGCACGCTAGAGGTCATTATGGTGATTTTGGTGGAACATTTGTCTGCAGGAAACTCCAAAGTGCGAGAGAGTGGGAGGGGGCCGTGCTCATGTTTCGTAAATTTCTGGGAAAAAAGCGCACGTCAAGAAGTTATTGTATTTTAGTGACTTTGGTGGAACATGCACATCTGCAGGAAAACTAACTGGTATCTCCCAAGTGCAAAGAGAGTGGGAGGAGGAGGTTTCATGTTTCGCATTCCTTAGTTGCTGCTATAGATCATTGAGAACGTGGTCCTCGAGGGGACGGGGCATTGTTCCCACACGACCGATCGATTGCTGATGGCCCAAGGTTCGTTCGTTCCTACTTTGCCAAAGATGGCTCAAATAAAAAAAGTTCTCCCTTACATACAGTATATCCTGTCTTTTGCACCTCTCGCCCGCTCACTGCTGTGGGGGGTACATAAAACACCAACATCGAAGAACAAAAATCTCTCAAGGCCAAACGCTGAGGGGAAGAGCGGACACGATCTCGGCACTCTCTAACGCAACTAACCGTCCGGCGTAGGTTATCGGGTGTTGAAGTGACAAAAAAACGCGTTGGGGCTCGGTGACGTATCAAGACACATTTGTACCGACTGCGACAAGCGCGGGGTAAACGATACTCTGGCGACCACTCGCCTTGTGGTAGGTGTACCAGGTGACACGAAGCCTGCTGGGAAGCTCGCAGTAGCCCACCCCGCCGGGGAGACGCAGAATCCTTCGGGTGAACCACTTGTGTACCTGGTGAGCCCTGTGTGAAGTGTCGTGCAACATTGGAACGACCATCGCCAAGGTTTGAAGGCTTGAAGGCTGCAGCAGCTAACAAGAATGCCGCGTCAGAATACTACACAAAACGTTTCGGAAGATCCAACGAGTGAAATGAACAGACACTGCTTTTTCTCTGATGACGTCGCAATAAAATAAAAAACAAAAAATAAAAAAGGACGGAACACACAAAAAGGAACCGAGACAAAACACACCACAAACACTACACTAACACGACCTTACAGGCATCGAAAGCAGCAAGCATCACGCGAATAAAAAAAAAAAAAAAAAGGAACCCGGACAAACGACCCGTGGGAGAACAAATCGCCTTCAAGCACGCATTCACATGCACAAATGCGCATGTTGCAGCAGTAGCAAAAACAATAAAACTCACCTGAAGGCCACGTCCCCGTGAAGACCGGCCTCGTTGACAATACCGTCCCGTATCATGTGGATATCTTCCTCTTCTTCCACGGAGAGGTTGATGTTTCCGTGCCTGTTAAAAATTACACGCCCGCCAGGCACGCCGGTGAGCACGCGCCTAGTTGCAGTTGCATTGCCACCATCTACTTCAGCCGTTGTCAACGGTACCTCTCAAACGTGTCGCCTAATAGCACGGCAGCAAGTAATACCGGGAAAAAAACAAAACTTCAGGAACCGCGCGCTCACGACGAACCGACGACATTCTTTCTCCAAACTGGCAAGGCGAGCTGAGCTAAAGTGTGTTTTTCCCGTCAATAAAGCCAAACACATCAGCTGGCATATCCAACTTTTGGCCGACCTCCATGCATCTAACCAACACATAACAGGTATGAACGACCTCCCCGTCCCTTCTCGGTGTCGGTCAGTCAGGGGAGCCCATACATACAGAGCCAGCCAACCGCCTGCAAGTCCATCGACTACAATAATGAAATCGCCGATAATTGTGCATGTGTTGGCTAGATGTAGCCAGGTGTCCAACCTTATTCGATGCCAGTACGTCTTGGAGGTAGACACGGGGAGATATCGCCAAACCATCTCCCAGTCCGCGTCTCCGAGGAACCGGTCGCCTTTCAGAAGGTCCAGCTGCCGAAACGCACAAGAAAAGAAAAAAGGCAAAAAAAAACAGGCGTTGGAGCAGAAAAAAAAAATACAATACGGACAGCATGACAACCGCTGAAAAAAAAAAAAAAAGAGAATTGGCGCGTGTCAACCAGACCAAACGGTAGATCCTTGGCATTTTTTTTTCCTCCAAAACACGATAGCAAGAAAAACGACAAGCCGCGAAGGCGTCTCGGCAAGCGTGGACAAGATCAGACATCGATACCAACCGGCGTGTGTGGCGCGTGTGGAGGCGAATCTTGTCGGAAAGCAATGTAGTACCCCTTCGATTAGCTCCACTACTGTCTTCCATCATGGACACTCATTCCAAACGATTGTGCAAATAAAACGCGTTCGTGCACACACACGGGGGGGTGGGCGTACGCATGCTTTGTATGCCTTCCCTAGTTGTTAGACCATTGACCTCGCATCCCTACTATGCCGGGATGGGGTGACATGTAGGGTTTTTGCCTGCCCAGGATACATTTACATTCACAATTTCCTGTGTGTGTGTGTGTGTGAAAAAAAGCAAAATTGAAACGGGAAGATTAGATAAACGCCACACCTTGTGCTCAAGACGCGCTTCGATGGCCGAGCACGCTTTCGTGAAGACCTCTGTCTCCGCTGTCGTCGACCTTTAGAACGGGGGGAAAAAGAACAGGAAACAAATCACAGAAAACGTAAAAATTGATGGCCGAATCAAATACAATACAACCAGGAGAGCACGAAATACTCGATAATTCACGATTTCCAACACAGATTCACAAAAGAGAGCACTTGGAGAGAACCGCCATAACTTTCCCCCAACCGAAACAGCACGGCCAACAACACCCACGACCATCGCAAAAACAGCAGTAATGTAGAAGCTACCACCCAATAGCAACACCGACGTCAACAACACTAACGTCAACCCAGAAGCAACATCACCAGCACCAACACACCAGCACCAGCACCAACGCCAACCCAGAAGCAACACAACACCGACGTCAACATCACCACCAGCACCAGCACCAGCACCAACATCACCATCACCGCCACCGCCACGGCGGTTACAATACAGCATACACTGAAACACATGCCTGTCGAGGCCCAACGCGGAGACAAGGTATCCGCAGAGCGACCCGTTGATGATGAGAGTCAGGGCCGCGATGCCCGCCACGTAGAAGAGCACGAGGTCTCGCACGTCCTCCGAGAAGCGATCGTCTTCGACCACGATCAGGGCCAGGGTAAGCCCCACAGCTCCTGGTGAAAGAAGAAAGAAACAGTTGAGTTAGAGGCAGGGGGCGTGGAGGAAAGCGATGGAGCCGTGAGAGAGATAGGGGGGGGGGGGGGTATACTCATATAAACGCATGCCGGGTTTTCGCCGGCGCAAGCTACGTTTCGCGGGGATGAACCAGAAGTTGGTCGTCATCCTTACGTGAGAGAGGGGGGTAACTCATAGCCATAGTCGTGCATGCCGTAGCCGTTAGACCATTGGCCTCGCATCCCTACAAAGCAGGGGCGGAGCACGCCGGAAACATAGATAACCCCATCTTAAAACCGTGTACTATAACAAGACACGTCCTTGGAAACAAACAAAAACGCCGAATACTTGGAAACCTGTGAGGCAGACCAAGGCCAAGAAGCACGAGCTACTCGAAAGAGAGCGAACAAGACACGATTGCGCTTTTTTGTCATCGGCGTCCAAAAAATAAATTGCCCCCGCCCTTCTCTCTCTCTCTCTCTCTCTCTCCGTCTCTGTCTCTGGCTCTTTGCTCTGCTCTCTCCCTCCCTCCTCTCTGTCTGTCTGTCTGTCTCTATCTCTATCTCAAACTCTCTGGTCTGTGTCTGTCTCTGTCTCTGTCTCTGTCTCTGATATATCTCTCTTGTGTGTCTGCCTGTCTCACCCCTGAGGCCGGCAAAGGCGAGCACGATGAGCTGCCTGTGGGTCATGCCGTAGCCCCACTTCGTCAGCACGGGCAGGAGCAGGAGAACCACGACGGACCGGACCAGCTGCAGCAGCACGTACAGCAGCGCCAGCAGCCCCCATTCACGCCCCTGACAAAAAACAAAGAGGAAAGAGAGTTCGGATTGACAATGCAACGTCCTGGGATGCACCACACAGCAGTACTACAAAAACCAAAAGGGGGGCGGCCTGATAACGGACTATCATTGGATGTACCATACAGCAGTGCAGCGCTACACGAGGAAAAATTTAAATTAATTTTTGGGTTGTTAGAGGACAAGTACAAATGCGGCGTCAGGCAGGTGGGGGGAGCGAAAACTACAGCAGGGTACTACAAGAGGAGAGTACAAACGCGGCGCCAGGCAGGCGGGGGGAGCAAAAACGCCAACCAATAAAAAACCGAACAAACTACATCTTCACGACAGACGTGGCGGAGACGGGCGAGAACCGCAACATGCGGCCGGTGTGTGTGCCGTTTACCACCACAGGGGGCGCTCTTTTCGATCATCTGTGTTTACCCCCCCTTCTCCCTCTCTCTGTATCTGTCCATCTGTCTGTCTGTCTCTCTCCCCCGCTCTCTGTCTCTGTCTCTTGACTCTCTGTCTGGTCTGCCTGTCTCTCTGTTTGTCTCTGCATCTCTCTGTTTGTCTCTGCATCTCTCTCTCTCTCTGGCTGTCTCTCTCTTCTCTCTCTCCCTCTCCCGCCCCTCCCCTCTCTCCCTCCTTCTCCCTCCCTCTCCTGCCCCCCCCCCCCTTCCT